AGAACAGAATCTATGACTGATGGGTGAGAGAAAGACCTATTTTTAAGCAGGTTTTATTCCAATCTATACATTTGGTAGTAAATCTTTAAAACAAGCGCAAGCTATGTATTTAACAGCTAGTTAATTGCACATCAGAAACTGCATGACGTGTTCCATCCAGCCCACTCTGCCCATAAATTAAAATAAAAATGGAACACATAAGCTGATCTTATGTTCTTTTCAGTGGTTTAAGTATAAAAGGGATAAGCCCACATTACTAGGAGTAACAAAAATAAAACACAGCTGGACGTCACATTTACAGTGCTTCAAGCATTTCTACAGAAAGTTAGTACTTGGATAATGGGTACCACACCTTACAGGTATTTTTAAAAGGGTTACTCCAAACACCATGATCACTTCAGTAGTTCACATGGTAGTAGGAGTCGGGCAAATGCTGTACATCCAGAGATATTTGCACTTGTGTACCGGGGACTAGTTACACCCGATGCTTATGACTTTGGCAGCCTGGAAAGCTGTTTGGGGTTGCCTAATGTTAATTCTGTGCATATTTTATGTCTGTAGTCAGCACGCTGGCAACAGATGTAATGGATTGGACCATCCATGGCCCCTGCGGACATCAGACAGTAGAGAGAGATCAAAGATCAAATCCTGGAGCTTAACCTGGTGCTGAATTTAAGGTAAGTTGTAACACTTATACTTTAAAAAAAAAAAATGTAACTTATTTATAGGGTAAGAGCTCAATTTTGCAAAAACATAGGCTGAAAATATAATATTTTTTTCCTCAATTCAGTTAAAGACTTAGTAAATCCTAAAAACTTCCTAGAACATGTAACATCAGCAACCATAAACCAACATGCAACTTTTAGACAATTTCAAATTATGGAGATGCTGAAAGAAGAAATAATCCACCAAAAAAGAAAAACAAGGCATTAAAAACAACAGTGCAAATATAAAAAGAGCATTCAAATAGATAGTTAAAAACTCTTGTACATGACATTGTTTAGCATGAGATATTCTGAATTTAACCAGTTTGATCACAGCTGAACCAGTGCCCAGAATAAATTGTATGTCTGCAAACAATTTAAAGACGGTCCTTTATGTTCATGATCATAATGCAGACCGCAGATACACTATCATGGCAAATACAGAACATGTGCAAAAAAGGGCAGATTTAAATATGTTTAAAATAAAGCAAGCTAAAACATACAATGTGTAAATTATATACATACTTAATGCTCTAATGACTAACATTACTGGAATCAGCATATTGAATATGTTCTTTGTGAAAGCTATATAATGGGTATATTGTTCCTTAAGAATATATCTTTGGGAAATAATACACGCCTAACGCCTCTCCTACAGGTGTAAACCAAAATATACCTAGACAGAATAAAAAAAACTAAATTAAAAAAACTGTGTGTGTAAGTTCATGTAAAGGCAATATAGTTGTAAGCAAACCTCTACCAAGATCTTTAAATTGTTGCATTAAATAGACACTATAGTAACCAGAACCACTACAGCCTAATGCAGTGATTCTCGGGTCTATAGTATGTCCCTGCAGTATTTTTCAGAGAAAAGGTAGTGTTGACATGGCTGTCTGAGAGAGTGCCTCTAGAGGTGTAACGAGCCAGCAACTAGAGGTGCTTCCTAGTCTAGTGCTGCACAGTATGAAGTCCATACGTTCAACATCTCCATGCTCTGCATTGAGATGCGGACTGCTCCCTGTAGAGATGCATTGATTCAATGCATTTCTATGAAGAGATGCTGATTGGTGAAGCGTTTTTTCACACATGTTCAATAGCATCCCAATGCTTTCCTATGGAATATTTTTGGATTTGCGGAGATCATCAAGATGGATGAGCTCAGCTATGGAGACGGGGCTAGCTGCATTAAGATCAGCTCGGAGGTGGATAAAAGATAAAAAACCTTTTTACTTCACAGAGAGGTGTGCTGGACACCGAAATAAGTATTCCAGCACTATAGTGTTAGGAATACATGTTTGTATTCCTTACACAATAGTATTCCTTTAAAATATCCAGCTGGTTTAGTATCAAAGAATAGGATACCGTATATACTCGAGTATAAGCCGACGCACCTAATTTTACCACAAAAAAATGGGAAAATGTATTGACTCGAGTATAAGCCTACGGTGGGAAATGCAGCAGCTTCTGGTAAATTTCTAAATAAAATTACATCCCAATAAAATTACATCAATTTAATATTTATTACAGTGTGTGTATATAATGAATGCAGAGTGCGTGTTTGTGTAGTGTGTGTATATAATGAATGCAGAGTGCGTGTTTGTGTAGTGTGTGTATATAATGAATGCAGAGTGCATGATGCAGAGTGCGTGTGCGTGTATACAATGCAGAGTGCGTGTGCGTGTATACAATGCAGAGTGCGTGTGCGTGTATACAATGCAGAGTGCGTGTGCGTGTATACAATGCAGAGAGAGTGCGTGTATACAATGCAGAGAGAGTGCGTGTATACAATGCAGAGAGTGTGTGTGTGTATACAATGCAGAGAGTGCGTGTATACAATGCATACAATGCAGAGTGTGCGTGTATACAATGCAGAGAGTGTGCGTGTATACAATGCAGAGTGTGTGTGTGTGTGTGTGTGTATACAATGCAGAGAGTGTTTGTGTATACAATGCAGAGAGTGTGTGTGTATACAATGCAGAGTGTGTGTGTATACAATGCAGAGAGTGTGTGTGTATATAATGCAGAGAGTGTGTGTGTGTATATAATGCAGAGAGTGTGTGTGTGTATATAATGCAGAGAGTGTGTGTGTATATAATGCAGAGAGTGTGTGTGTATATAATGCAGAGAGTGTGTGTGTATATAATGCAGAGAGTGTGTGTGTATATAATGCAGAGAGTGTGTGTGTATATAATGCAGAGAGTGTGTGTGTATGTGTATATAATGCAGAGTGTGTGTGTGTGTATGTGTATATAATGCAGAGTGTGTGTGTGTGTGTATATATAATGCAGAGAGTGTGTGTGTGTGTGTATATATATTGCAGAGAGTGTGTGTGTGTGTATATATATATATATATATATTTGATGCAGAGTGTGTGTGTTTGTGTATTGTGTGTAAACTGGGTGGGGGGAGGGCATTTTTTATATTTTTTATTATTTTAATGTTTTATTGTTTAATTATTTTTTTATCCCCCTCTCCCTGCTTGTTACCTGGCCAGGGAAGGGCGCTATGTCATTCCCTGAAGGTCCAGTGGCATGGGCAGGGCCGGCAGCAAGCTGTTACTTACCTTTGCAGCAGCTCCGTTCATCTCCCAGTATAAATCTCGCGGTCTGCGTGTCGCGCGGAGCGTTGCCACGGGCTCTGACGGCCGTGGCTACGCTGTGACGGCTGCGGGTCTCGCAAGATTTACACTGGGAGATAAACGGAGCTGCTGGCCCCCCCAGGGTGCTGGTCTGTATTATGGCAATGTAAGTTGCCATAATACAGACCCTGACTCTAGTATAAGCAGAGAGGGGCTTTTTTCAGCATAAAAAATGTGCTGAAAAACTCTGCTTATACTCACGTATATACAGTAATTAAAATATATGTTTTTGTCACTAAATTACCACAAATAGATTATACTAGAAAGTTATACCAATTAATACCAAAGATGGTAAAATGTGCATCCCAGTTTTAAAGGGACACTCCGAGCACCAATGCAGCGTTAATGCATCATTAACATGTTATGTTTATTTTTTATTTTTTTTGCATGCTCAAATCTTTATGGTTTTTGCACACACACACACACACGAAAAAAAATGTTTTGCCGAATTCTGCACCATAAACCTGCCATCTTAGACACTCCCCTTGTGCCAGAAGCACTTCCTCATCCAACGTATGCAGTCTCCAGTCTCAGTCCTAATAACACTGAATGAGCAACTTTTAATTGAAACACTGCCAGCAGATACAAACAGGTAGTGGTATCCATACTAAATATCGCTCTGGGTGTCCACTCCTAATGCAGAATGTTTTGTTGTTCAGATCAATCAGTACTGTCAGTAGCTGAGCTGTGTGCAAACAGTTGATAAGGAAGTCATTTTCTGGAGGGATAGGGTGTGCAATCAGCAAAACATTTTTTTATTTTTTTTACATAAGCTATAAAGATTTTAGCATGCAAAAAATAGCAATATATTAATATGTATATGGTCAAGTCTGGGCAGCTCACAGTACATTCTTTTGTCTGAAGCTCCTGCTGCAGTAGCGAGGATTTTAAATATGTACATTCATTCACTGACCTGTCAGTAAGCAACAAAGTAGGGATAGTGAGGGTGTTTTATTTATTTTTGTTTACAACTTTTACTTTAAATTTGATCCAAAATTCTTAAAGGAACACAGTGCAAAGGCTGGTGAAATTCTGATAAAACAGGTTATTGGATGTGTGCTGCTTTTCTTTACATACACTTAGATTCATTTTTTTAAAGGAATTAAAGGGAATCTATAGTGATAGAAATTCAAAGTTGTATACAGATTATTATTTTATTATTTATATAACACCAGCAAATTCTGTAGCACTGTACAATGCTCCTCACTTACCAACCAGGTTCCATTCCTACTACTCAGCCGTAAAATAAATTAGTTGGTAAGTGATGGGCTAGAGAGCAGGTGTAGGTTCAGGGGAAATCCCCCAAACATAGACAAGCTCTCTAATGTGGCGAATTGACTTAATGCTTTCCTATGGGGACATCCAGCGTCATTTAAGTGACCTAGAGTCGCTAAACTCCCGGAAGTGCCTCTAGAGGCTTATTTAGTAAACTGCAGGACTAAAGGGGACTAGGACAGTGCGCCCAGACCACTTCAATTAGCTGAAGTGATCTGGGTGTCTATAATGTCCCTTTAAGGCCCAGAGGGGTTTCTTTTTGTGAGAAAGGGTGGACTTGGAAATGCATTTTGAGAAAACATTTTACATGGAGACTGGCAGCCAAGGTATTACACCATTGATTTAAAAAAAAAAAAAAAGTTATTTATTCTTGATATTTCATTTATAGAAAAACTCCTAGCACCAAAACCACTACAGAGCACTGTAGTGGTTATGGTGTCAGGAGTGTCCTGGAGCCTGACCAATGTATGTAGTCAAACTCCTTAGTAACAGTTTGACTTTAAAGAAGTGGTCCGCTGGATGCAGCTCCCCACCTACTTTTGGCTTCAAGTGAGAGCAATTCATTCTTGCTAAGCTCTCCTGAGCCCTGTAGTGTTAGCTCATGGGATGAAAACACCAGGGAGCTGAGCTCAGTGAACCCCAGTTAAGTTAAACCATTAATAAAGGATTTAACTATTTATATTGTGGGCAAGGGCACTCCTGGCAGCATTACTAAAGCATTATGTTGGAGTGTTCCTTTACATACCAGAGAAACACTAGTACTATGCACATGCATAAAAAATACTGTCAGATGACAATGGCATAACTTCGATTTGGAAATTCTTTCCAGCTCCAGGGTTACCTAAATCATCACATCAGTGTTGTAGAATGTTAGCTCATTATAAATACACAAAGTAATTACGTGCACCACCGCAATATGGGATTCGTTAAAGCGAATTTGCAAGGATACTTGCTTTGCAATTAAATCAGAATATATTGTTTTGCAGTAGAGCATGACTGTGATGGCCTTTCTATTCATTATATTTGGATTTATTTTTTTCTAGTCACTATATTTCTGTGTGCCATTATAAGTGATTTCACCAGTTAGAGGTTATTGTTATATTATCCTCCCCAATACAGCTGCACTGTATAATCTCTTCTTGCAAAGTTCTGTGTTGTGGAATAAGTGACTTAATATGATTATATACACGTTTCAAAGGGACTCCATTATCTACAAAGAATGGTCTCATATTAATCTCAAAATTCATCAATACATTCCAAATAGGATAGAGAGAATGTCAAGAGAGGTGCAGACACACTGGGAAAGTCTATGCAGTTTAGGTCTGATCACCTGTAAAGGAACTATTTGAATGTTATGTTTGCATTGTACAAGACAGATGACGTATAGATTTACAGGAAAATTAAAACTGTTGCTTTAAAAGATCAGAGGTTGTTCTTTACATGCCCATCTGTCTAGATGTACAACAATAGTAATAGGGTAATTATCCAACACTGCATGTAAAACTCTCCAGTCATTTTGTTAAAGCGCTGCTTTTAGAAGTGCCAATATTCGTTGGGCTCGTTGTGTAGCGTTTTTAGCTTCAAACACTTGCACATACAGCAAAATATGCACTCTTGTACAGGGGCTAGTTACACACTTGGCCCACGTCAATTAGGCAGCCTGCTTTACTTACATGCAAATGCACACGTGATAGAAAGATAATTGTAGACAGAATGGGTTCACCTGGTGTACAGATTGTAACAATCACACAAAGCCAATAAATACTAGTCGTCGCTTTGCCAGCTGCATAAGAGATCGCTGAGCATCACGAGTAACATGCTCTAAGTCAGGGGTTCCCAACCCAGTCTTCAAGTACCCCCTACCAGTCCAGAATTTAAGGATTACCCTGTTGTGTCTAAAGTGTTTTTTTTTCTAAAAACACCTTAGACACAACTGGGTAATCCCTAAATCCTGGACTGTTAGGGGCTACTTGGGGACTGGGTTTGGAACCACTGCTCCACGTCAACTATGCTTTTGGTTCAGCTACTCTTGCCTTAAATTTGAAATTCACAATTTAGTAAATATCCCTGTATAGTGTTCTTTTAAGTTTCATTAAATGTAAAAAAAAATTTCAAAACTAGTAATGAAAATTTGATGACAGTAAACTGCAGATGTGGATAAACCACAATTCACTATTACTACAATAATCTACCTGTCCTGCTCTAACCTACTGCCGTCTGTATCAACTCTACGAACAACAAACAGATGTGTACCTTTTTAAATGCAAATGATCAGCTCAGACGGCAATGTAGACTTGGGTACTAGCCAGTTTCAAGCATTATCAACTGCTTTCTGTATTCTTCTCTTATCCCATTACAGTCTCCATGGTATAAAAGCGGAGTTTAAGTATCATTAGGATAATATTTTTAATCATTTCTTTTAATATATCCTTAATAGATTACAATGTAAATTCCATTAGAGAAATCAGATTTAATTGTTCTGATTCTCTCTCTTTGTAACGTTCCTAGACGGATCATGGCTATTAATACCTGGTGCGGCTTTCTATATACAATTTTAGATAAGATTAGGGACAGCTGATGGATGCTGCAGAGAAACCCTTAGACATAATCCAGGTCCTGCCCTCAAATCCAAGCCTGGCCCGGTTATACTGACCTTGTAGTACACGTGGCAGGAATCCAGCTCTGCAACATGCAAATTATTGGGAAAAACAAAACTAGGAATCGGACGCCCTTTTAGCTAACTAACAAGTCAAAAATGCGTTTTCCCTTTAAATAAAAGGATGAAATGGAAATTCTATATGCAAGAGGACATATTTATAACTAGCAGCTGAGAATAAAAGGAACATTTCCCAACTAATACATTAAATATGCATAGCTCCCACATTACCATTTTTATTTTATCAAGTTGGAACCTTTCTGATAGACAGAGGCATTTCAGCTGTCAGTTGGTATATATTGCACCCTATGAAGTGCATCCTGACAGGCCATCTTGCAGAGACAATTACTTCTAGAAAGCCACTGATGTAGAAAACACACAAGCATGCAAAAAATAAATAAAAAAAATAAGATTAAAATCTTATAAAAGCATGAGGGATCAAAGCCATGCCTATTCACAAAACTAAATATCTATCCATATACTCGCCACAGTAATACTAACCCCTTCTATCTCTCCTTTCTTCCCTATTCTCTACCCCACTGTCCTCCAGAACCTCTTCTATACTGTTCCATGTCCCATCCCAACAGCACCACCACCACCATAAATTGTACTTTTTTCTTCTAAAAATAAACCGGTATAGATTCAGATCAAATTAACCATGCAAGGTTTGTTTCTTCAGTTACTAGAGCAGGGTAGGCAACCTTTGGCGCACAGGATGTTGTGAACTACATCTCTGATGCTTTGTCAGTGTTATGGCTGTAAGTGCATTAGGGGACATGTAATCAAAAACACCAGGAGTGCTGACAGTTGCCTACCCTGTAAGTATGTATCTGGAAATCAAAATACCGTATTTATCAGCGTATAACACGCACTTTTTCTCCCTGAAAATAGGGGGCAAATTATGGGTGCGTGTTATATGCCGGACCTTTAAATGCTGCAGCCGCCTGAGCGCTCTGTCAAGAGCGGTCAGGCGGCTGCAGTTGGTGCTCACCTCCCCTCCCCTGTAGCGTGGCCGAGCTGCTCTGCTGTCCGCGGTGCCCGGCCGGAGTGATAGGAAGGTGCACGCTCAATGTGCACCTTCCTGTCAGTCCGACCGAGTACAGGAAACAGAAACTCCTGTTCTGCGCGGAAATGGGGGAGGGGAGAGTAAGAAAGGGGGTAAGAAGAGGGGGAGGGGGGAGTAAGAAAGGGGGGTAAGAAGAGGGGGAGGGGGGAGTAAGAAGGGGGTAAGAAGTTCTTTATTTGAAATTTAAGGGTTTTTTTCCTGAAATTTCCTTCTTAAAATGAGGTGCGTGTTATACGCCGGTGCGTGTTATACGCCGATAAATACGGTATAAATTAAAGGAAAGATTATGGAGACCAAAACAGCATGCAATAGTCATCAAGGTATGGCATATAAGACAACTACACTTTTTATATGCAAAGATCAATTCAATCACCTTATAGACACACCAGGAATAGGAATCAGCAAAGTTACAGAGTGGTCAATCCAGTTCCCAGAAAAAATGAACAAACCATGGCTTAGTCGATAGTGGAGGATACTGCGTGATTTTTGTTTTTTTTAATTTAAGATATATCTATATCTAGCTACAATCCATAAATCTAAAGAATCCCACAGTAGGCAAACTGCAGTCATCATAGACAAAGGAGAACAAAATGGAGGCTGCCAGGTATTAAGATCTGGGGGCAAGGAATAAATGATAAATATAAATAAAGGAAAGTAGCAATGGACAGGGCTCATCATTGAGATACAAAGTACGTTATGAGTTATGGAAAATTAAATGGAAAATACCATGACTGTCACTTTAACGGTGGCGAGTATGGTACACATAGATTGTGAATTTTACCTAGAAATAATAAATTAAACCAGGGCTTGACAAACTTGTTTGGAATCTAGGAGCCAGCTAAAAAAGTTAGGAGCCGTTTTTTTTTTTGGGGTCACTATAGTCACCAGAACCACTAAAGCTTAATGTAGTGGTTCTGGTGCCTATAGCCTGTGCATGTAGCCTTTTCAATGTAAACGCTGCATTTTCAGAGAAAAGGCAGTGTTTACATTGCTGCCTACTAAGACCTCTAGTGGCTGTCACTCAAACAGCCACTACAGAGTCCTGTGTCAGTGCTCTGCATAGAGGCGCTGAATTGTGTTACCCATATAGAACATGCGCAATATCCTCCCAATGAACATACAGAACATGCGCAATATCCTCCCAATGCTTTCCTATGGGAAAGCATTGGCTTAGCTGAGATCATAAAGACCGATTAACTCGGCAATGGAGTCGGGACAAGCTACAGCAAAACCTGCACGATGTGGGCAAAAAAGGTGAGTAAAAACACCAATCATGTGATCGGAGGGGGTCAGGTACCTAAACAGACACATACTCTCTGACATACACACACACTTTCTCAAACACTCACAAATTTACATGTTTTTATTTTAATCCATCCAGCCAGCCTCCCTACCGTTGAGAGAGCCGAGTGGACTTTCCCTGGGGTCCAGTGGGGCTGCTCTCTTCCTGTGTGAGAGGGAGCAGTAATCTACCGTGCATCTACTCTCTGCATTCTGTGATGCCGGGGCCGGAATGACATCATAATCCGGCTCCCGGTATCATTAAACAGCGCGAGGGAGCAGAGCTAAGCTACACGCCTCCATAAAGCCCAGGGCAGCCAGCTACAACGCTCGCTAAGCCGGCTCCATTATTTGCCAAGCTGGCCGTTTTAGATAAAAAGGTGACAAATCCCAGGCGCCAGGCCAAACTTTTAGTCACCATGTCGACCTGGGATTTGTCGAGCCCTGAATTA